GTGGTTAAGATGTCATTACAGGGCCCTATGGCTTGCCTGAATTTGTCTCTGACTGCGTCGTTGGTGATGTGGTCTTTGTATGAGATGCCAAGCAGTTTCCTAATGGCCTGCAATTTCTTCAGGATGTCTGCTGTCCATGTCCAGGTCTCGCAGGTGTACTACAGGAATGAGACAAACAGGGAGCGCATAAGTCTAATCTGTGAGCTAACAGAGACATGCTTATCGTTATGAGATGGTTTTCAGTCTCGCTAGTGTTGTTGTTGTTTGTGCAATTCTGGACAGTAATTCAGGCGTGGAACCTTGGTCGATGACGACTGCGCCCATATATTTAAAACTGTTAACCTCGTTCAATTTTCTGCCGTTAACCCTGATGTCAATGCCGATGCCATCTGTGTTGTTGGTCATCAGTTTGGACTTCTCTGCACTAATTTCCATGCCAAAGGCTGAAGAGATCTTATCCAGGTGATCCACAAGAGCGGCCAGTTCCTTTTCTTTTCCTTTCAAACCATCGATGTCATCGGCACAACGTAAGTTGGTGATTGTTCTGTCACCAATGCTGACTGTTCCTTTGTGATTTTCTTGTGCGTCATTCATAATCCTCTCGAGAAGGATCTTGAAAAGAGTGGGGCGAGAGGAGACAGCCTTGTCTGTCTTCGAGTGTGGTTTTGAACCAGTCTCCTATACCACCATTAAGGTTGACTGCACTAATAGCCTTGTTGTAGAGGTTCTCAATAACTTGGATCAGGTTGCCATCAATGTTGTAAAGCCTCATAGTGACCAAAGGGCTTTATGTCATGCTCTGTCAAACGCCTTTTTAAAATCAATTAAGACGTGTTAGAGATCTTGTTGATGTTGGAGGTATAAAACAATATCCTAAGATTTAAGATCAGTTCTGTTTTGCTGCGTCCTGGTCTAAAGGCCGCTTGTTCCTCTGCAATGATGGTTTCTGCCTGGTGCTTCAGTATGGCTTTACTTAGGTGGCCAATCAGGCTGATTGTGCGATAGTTCTGTGGAAAGGGTAATGGTCAGAGACTGGGTCCATGGTATAGTCTATTCCCCTGTCTGCCAGATCTTATTGTAGATTTTATGTAAGGCGCTGATCACGGCATTTCCTCTTGCCTAGACCATCTCCCCCGGTGATATTGTCTATCCCTAGAGATTTTCCCCTCTTAAGCGATTTCACAGCTGCTTCTATCTCTTCCGGCAAGATTGGGTAGTTATCAATGTTAGTTACTGGTGGGACATTCCGTTCCTCGGGGTCTGGGTTTGGCTTTCATGTACCAAGAAATCAGATGAAACTTGACACTCAAAGATGAATGTAGCATTGCAACGGTCAAAAACTCATTTGCGGTCGAAGATATTTGTTACAAATTGGCATTTTGTAATAGTTGGTCTCGTAATCAACTTCCTCCCAGAAGAAAAACGTGCGCTTTGGAAGAATTCACCTCTGGCAGTGAAAAGGTTAAGATGGTAACATTATTTTTTGTCTCTTTCAGGATAAACGTTCACCTGGTTAATTCAAATATTGGCGATATCTCGGTATAGTACTAACATTTCCTCATATCACACCATCCAGATAACTCCGAGACATTCCTCTAAAACAGCCGCAGTACTGTTGCTTTTACCAGCAAATGGTGAAAATGTAGACGTAAAATGGGTGATGGGCAGTGTGCATTGGTACAAAAATGGACATAGCGCATAACATACGAGTAAACAACAAGTTTATTCACTGGAGTATTCTGAGTAACGACAGCTTAATACGGGTACTCGATACATAACCAAAGAAATGAAGACAATTCTGGTATTTATTAACCAGTGTATCCAAAGAACATTGAGATCGAAGCAGTGACCATCAACTAATACTTATAATTCTGGTTCGGTAAGCGTGTTCATTGTTGGTGATGCCATGGCCTTACCTCACTGAGGTAAGTGTCAGTGAACTTCACTGAAGGCAGGCCAAGTTTTACATCTAGCTTGTAAGATCGCTGTTGTGTAAAGTTGTTGACTGAGTAGCTCAATGTCTCATTACGCAGATCGACGTGAAGTTGCTGCAGGTTGCCTTGGATGTGTTTGCGGACACAATCATCCTAAAACAGTTAAATGGTAAAAAGCCAATATTCCCCTCTGGTTTTGTTCAACTTAAATGGTGTTTCAAGTTACTATTATAATTTTTTTAATTGCTCGTGAATGGCAGCGTGTGTACATACGCCTTCTCTTCTACTTTTGAATTCTGCTGATGCATTCGAGACAGTAGGGCTAAACGGCACAAACATAAAAGAACAATAATGCTGTCCCTATAGCCCACGTTCGATATATTAAAATTCTAACATGACTCCGAGGCTTTGTGGTCATTTTTCTATATTTTGTTTGTGCTTAAGTCTCTTCTGAGAAATACGAGACAATGAAGTCGTAAATAATTTGCAATTTCGACCCTGACGCTAGATTTTAATATATCGAAAGTGGGCCATTGATGAGAGAGTTCTATGGGAACCTTATTTGCTAGTTCTTTTATGATATTTCAAATCACTTTATGAATACTTATCACAACCTTGTAAGAAGCAACTTGTATCAATAAATCCAGAAAGACAATATTGTAAGGCACGTGTGATATCTGCACTCTTGACTACAGACCTTCGTAGCAAAATTTGCCGATATTTATTATGCTTTCTCCACGCTCGCTGAGTCACAAAAAAAATGGTTTAAGAATATACAACAAAATTTGTTGTTTAATTAGCACCTTTTTAAGTTCTTCGCAGATGGTTTTACTTGTGCGTGGTGTTTTTATCTGTCAAAGAGCTTTCCCCGCCAAATAAGATCTTTGGTAACAATGAGATAGTTGATTTTTTGCGAGTTGTATGTTTTCAGGTACCTAACAATCATATTCACTTTTTTTTCTTAGAAATCGGTGAGAAAGGTTTTCCTTTGCCAGTTGTAGACGGTGTACAACTGGTAAACCCGGAAGTAACACCTGGACAGGTAAAAAACTTTTTTCGGTTTTGCAAAATATGTTACTAAGAGATAACATGCTTTACCTTCATTCAACATGCCGTCGCAGCCATATTTAATAGAACCTTACAAGGTTTCTTATTTTGCCGCCCAAAGGTAGATCATGTAACGATACTCAATGGTGCATTCTCTTTAGAACTTATTCATATGTAATACATGATATTTTTTCTACTGCTACTTCGTTTACGTTTGTTTCTTGTTCTTATGCTTGCGTCGAATGGGTATACGAGGCTGAACGATTTGCAATCACTTGCTTATATAAATGAGCAGTTAGCAACTCTCTGGGTCGGTAATTTAAACAGAGTTTAACCAGTGTTTGAAAAAACCGCTTTCCTTAGTCAATTTTAGTATGTCCAACGCTCTTACCAAACCGTTCCATGAAAGCATATAGCGTAGACTGGAAAGATTCGAAAAGATACTTAAAAATAACCCACTAAAGAAGAGATATTTCTTTAACTGCAGCTTAAGTTAGACTTCTTTAAAATGACCGACCCTCTGTTTTCAAGTCTAATGAAACTATAATTTTGATTTGTTTGAACAGAACTTCAACCTCGTAGCAACTGACTTTAAGTACGCACCGACTAAGAAGGCTGGTCTGAGGGGAAGCGAGGAAGCAAAGAATAATATAGTTGTATTTTAAATGCATTTTGTCGCAAAATAGTTTTGCTACAATGAAATGACATTCGCAATGGAAATCAGTGAGCATCAAAAAATAGTTGTTAAGCATGCAAGATAGTTACAGTTAAACTGCATATTTGTGCAAGGAATTTTTACTCCTATGAGATGGTATCTGTAATTAAGGTCAAATTTAACAATTAACTAAGTACAGTAGAACCCCAATGACTGGAACTCTGAAGGGAAACAAAAAACAGTTCGAGTTAGCAGGCGTTCGAGTTTTCGAGGTAGGTTGAATATTCAATTTGCCATCTTCATAATTGACCGTTAATGTTTTTTCAGCATTTTATGATAAAACACGATCTATTCGTTGCACCAATTAAAATCAAATTTCCGTAGTGGTAGTTTTAGCGTTTTTTCTGATTATACCACAAGAAACCTAATGGAATGGCATCCGGGTGGAATTACAAGAATTTGATCGAGGGACTGAATTTGATCAAGGGGAAAGGAATTTAATTCGAGTTAGCGAGGAGTTCGAGTTATCCGAGTTCGAGTTAAGGTGGCTTAACACAGTTTTGGCAGTTTGTGAGTATATATCAATTGCCAAATTATGGCAAGAGAAAAGTTGCATCTTACAAGCAGCTGAAACTTGGCAAGTAAAAAATGTACTGATAAAAGATTTTGATTGGCAGGTAAAATGTGCCGTTTTGGTAGTTTCCATGGCAACATGAACGATTGAATACAACCTTAAAATTTCACTTTTGCTCAGTTTATATAAAATTCGCTCATTAGATTTTCCTATAAACTTTCACATAGCTTACTGTAATTAATCATTATCCTTTGAAACTTGTTTGACTAAGTTTTAACAGACGGGTGTTTAGATAATCAATAATATTATTGTACTGTAATTATTAAATGTGTCACAAAATTAGTCTTTTCAACTTCCATTTTAATGTTCTCATGGTTTAAAATACGCCAAATATCAAAAAATTTTAATGATTATATTTTGAGAAATGTCTTCTGTGTACCATTGCTTTTTTCGCTGCCATGTTTGTTTGTCTAATTTAAAACACACGCGAGTTACCGCTGACCGCCCGCAAAACTGTGTCAAGCCACCTTAAACGAGTGAAAAGTGGGGGTGAAATCCGAGAGAAAAGAGACACAGCTCGAGTTATCCGAGGTTCTACTGTAAGTTGTAGTTTCAAATAATAGTCGTTTTAGAACAAAGCCTTGCTTAAAAAATCCAGTGAATTGTGATTTAATTCCAATTATAAGCCTTAAAAAGTAAATAATAACTGATATCTGAAATCTTATTTACTTATTAAGAAAACAATCATTGTTCGTTATATCAATAGCTCCTTTTATAACCAGGCAAAAGATATGATTAATTTTCTTTTCAATTAGGTGACCCAAGGCTGCTCTATACCCTAAAAACGCCGAAGTTTTTAATGAAGTTCTATGCTCTTGCATACCGTTTAAATCTACAATCATGCAGAATAACAAAGCTGCATATTATGTCTATTGTTAAAAAAATGTGAAGTAAAAGAAATAAAGAAAATAGGAAAAAAAAAGTCAATGCTGTTTTCTTTTCAAGATTTGGGAATCTGAGCTGACTGAAGAGTGATGTAGGATGCACTGAGTTCTTAAGAATTTGAGCTCCGACCGCTTCTCATAAAACCATCAATTAAAACACTCTTTTCCTTATCTTGCGTTACCGTTTGCCCTCTGATTTTCCAGACGGTGATTGAATATGGCAAACAGTAACAGTTTTTGACAGTGTAAATCCTCCTTTGAGGAGTGAACTGAATTTCCCCAGAGTCAGTAGAAGCCCGCGTCCTTGTCTTGCCTTTTTTCTTTGTTTGTTTGTTTAGTTTGTTTAGTTCAGTTTTGTCTCCTTCTGCTCTGTTTCATTTTTAAATCTTTGTCTTGGTATCTTCTACCCTTGCAAGTTAATGAGTAGGGAAGCAGCCTGGCCCAGTGGCAATCCGCCGGGCTTGCAATCAACCATCTTCTGTATCATTTGAATGTACTTGTTTTGGATGTTTGCCATAAGACTTTGTGCTAAGAAAACTGCGAGGGTAACAAAATCAAGGAAATTCGTTTTATTTTATTCTGTTATTTAGTAAAACCCTCTATATGCATTTAGCGATAGGAAAATAAACTCCACGAAGCGTTACGTTGGATGGCAGGTTACTTTACTCATCATTAAGCAGCTAACAGAGATCGTCAAAACAAAACAGTCACCAGTATTCGTCAAGAGACCAATCACATGATTTCATTATTTCCTTGGCAAAGGAAGTGTGTCAATATTTATTTTTGGCTGCCAATCTTTGGTGAATCGACCAAGGTTATCTGTGGGCTGAATTGGATAAACTTGAAACCAATCAAAAAGTACTCCTAAAACGTCAGTTTCAATTCCGTGGATTTTCCTGTACTTCTGTCTTTGTCTGGAAGAAAGCTGCTACAGTGACGAACATGAATAATTATGAATGAGAACAGGTAGGCTACCTGCTTGGTACTAGCGGTTAGTTTGACTCTCAGAGAGGACATAATAAAAACTGAGTATTCAATATCTTTAACAGAAACAGAAGGTCGGCTCTACTTTTTAAAAGGCTTGGCCTAATGAAAAAAAAAAACACTAGGAAAAGAGTAGAATTTTTATCACTAGCTGGGAAGGTATTGATGTCTTTTCACTCTTTCTAACGATAACCTAACTTATACATAGAAAATATTGGTGATCTTTTGGTTGAGCAATATGAAAGACAGAGAAAAAGATGTTTTGAGAAAGACATTTATTTTTCCTGTGGAGGGCTCATTTAGTGATATTTTGATCTACACCTACCTGTGTACAACATCCCAACGATCTTTGCACCATTGTATAAAGCCGAGACCCTTTGTCAAACACGACAAATAATCCCCGTTCGCTTTTTTCTTGCAGTTCTTAGATGAACAAATGACTGTGAAAGCAGTGGCCCAGGTGCTTGTCATAACCTTGGCGCTTAGTGACTTACTATTAGGTAAGATCTCTGGGTGTTATGGATCCTTGACAACTCCGTGCGACGTCAATGTCTTTCAGCTTGCACAGAAATGCATTGCTTCGGTTTTTACTGCAGTTTAACATATCCTATGCATCCAATCCAAATTCGGTGTTTGCCACTTAGCGGCACGTTGCAAGGGCAGTCCCGCATGGTTACCGGACGTTTCTTCCCTGGGGCAACTTCTGGTCTTTGTCATTTATAGTTTTGTACTTTTTGGTAGTATCGTAGTTTCTAACAGAAGCTGAACAATCAATACTTTGCAAATGATCCCAGTATGAAGCAGGCTTTTAACCTTGTGAAAGAATCGTGACGGTCATCGTTTTCCGCAGTGTAAGTTGAAAGAAAAAGAAACAAAAGTATCAAATGCGACATTAAAAGAGGTCACTTGCTCTTTCTTTTCAGGGTCAAAACGTACTAATACCGGAGGACATCATGATTTAAACCACGAAAATAGCACGATTTACATTGGACGGGGCACAGCAGGAAAAGTGCACCCTGCAAGAAATAATTTGCATAAAAATGTTTTTCTACAAGCTATAAAGAAAAAAGAAGTAGCCAAGAATGAATGGCTAGTTAAAGAGCTGGCTTTGTCTTCAGACATTGGCGAAGCAGTGAAGAGATCTAAAGTGAGGAAAAAGAACAAAAAACTCAGAATCCCAGTGAAGGTACGTCACGAAGGGAAGGGAAATAAAAGGGCTTCAAAATCTGGATCCCCGATAAAAAATACAAAGTCACAGAAAAGAACTTCTATTTCATTTCCTTCCAACTTAAGAGGTTCATCATTACCTGAAGATGGTGCGCCTTTATCGAGGACTCTTCTTACCGCAATTAGCCTTTTACTGGACGAAAAGAATCATTTTCAGAAGGATATCAACGCTTTAACTCTTGCCAAAGTGCTCAGTGACGATGCCGGTAAGGACGAAACAAATGATAGTTCTGATCCTCACAATGAACCCTCTTCGCTTGGAGCTATATCTAACGTACTATGTCTTTTGAACGCCACCGTATCTAAAGAGAGTCCTAGGGGTGAACGAAAATCTATAATACATACTGAGCTTATTAACCCAACGGAACTAGGAATCTCAATATTAAAACTTTTGTTTGGACACAAGGCTCCCCTTGTCGTAAAACCTACTTATAAACCTTCATTCCGCTATACGTCAACGGCTAAAACGGAGTCACCAGTCGCCAAAACAGTTCTTACACATGCAAGGCTTGCAGCACAAATGAATGAATTTGCTAATGGTAAGGAAACAGTAAGGAAGAAGTATCACCGAAATTCCTTTACGTTTGCCCTTGCTAAAGCTGTCAGTGATCTCATAAGATCTATGGCCAAGCGAGAACTAAAAAAATATATGCAGAAAATTCATAATCAGCACAAATTATTCAACGAAATGCACTACCGAAGGATTCCCACCAAATTCTGGCCTTGGAAAAAAACCGTTGACGTCCAAGGCGACCGGAAATCGTGGGTTCTTTTGAAAATACCAAAATCTAGAGACGAAGAGACCCTTCCGCAAGACATGAGCGATGAGCTTCAAGACGAAAATCCAAGCAACGAAGGGAAATCTCTAAAAGGAATTGTGGACACCATAGGTAAACTTAACAAAGCTGATCTTCTGTCTTCGGAAACTCCAGGTAAAGACACAGGAGACAACTCATTAAGCGGAGAGAATAGTGAAATAAAGGTTAAGCCAACTAGCAGAGTGGGATACACAGTAAGGATTTTACCCTCTTTAAAAGGAAGTAGTGAGAAACAAACTAGCATCCTTCGTGTGAAGGCGAAACCTGCTAAGAATCTTAACCCACAGACCACCGCTGCATTTGCAGAAGCCGTGAAGAAGCTGCTGCAGGCGGTGCAATCAAGTATCAAATCATTACAGGGAAAGCAATTTATAGGACATCCTTCTGAGGTACCTTCCGTGGTAAGCGATCAGCCTTCGGGGATAAGCCAGCAACGCGTAGCCTCTATAGCAAGCGATGAGCCTGCAAAGATTCCCGAAAGGACAAACACAGGTAGTGTTCGAGGTTTAAACAGTAACCCAACATCTTTAAATAACCTTCAATACCAAAAACGGCCAGTTCTGGAAGATCTTCAGGTCAAGAGACAACCGAGTATTGGAGAGCTATCCGAATTGACAAGAGCTGCAGGACAAAATGATTTTCCCTTCAAAGGAAACGCCCTGTTTGATCCTTTAAGAGATCTTGAATTGGCGGCGTCCGAGTCTATTTCAAAACCAGTCTCCCCAACTAAACGGATTGGTCCAACAGACAATGTAGTATTTGAGTCCGACACAGAGCTTGGGACAGCAAGGGATAAGCAAGAGTCAAGCATGGTAAAACATATAAAGGAAGGTAAGTTCTGCTCCGCATAAAAAGATTAAGTACTCTTTAGAACCTTTATTTCCACAACTCGAAGTAAAACGCTGAGTAAGCTAAACAAGAGGGGGAAAGTTTAAATGCTTCAGCTTCGAATGTTATATCAAATTGTGTACAGTTAATGTTGATTTCATTAAACATTTTTGTGACAGTGTATGTATCTCACTATTTTTTATTCAGATCTCGAAATCTTTGCGGAAAAAGGCCTCCAAGAGCATAACCATTATCGCGAATTACATCACTCGTCACATCTGCGCTGGTCTGATGAGCTTGCCACTCAGGCAGAGAAAATGGCATACGAAATGGCCATGAGAGGGACTATTGAGAAATCAGACGTGGCCGTGAGTCTGGGATACGGCGAGAATGTCGCTAAAATAACCGGAGTTCCGTTCAATGATGCAGGATCCGTGGCAACGGATGTCTGGTATAGCGAATCAGGAAATTATAGCTATTCGTACCCTAATGTCACACCACAGACGGATGCCTTCACTCAGTTGGTATGGAGGGAAACGAAAGAAATCGGAATGGGTTGTGCAAAGGACGTGGCTACGAATGATTTGTACGTGGTAGCCTTGTACAGACCCCCTGGAAACGATCGAAGAAGATTAAGGGACAACGTTATCAATAAAGGGACAATGACCGAGGACGTATACGCAACAATATTTAAAAGAGCAAAACAGGGTTAAATATAATATTAAATTAAAGACATAGTTTTGTTTAGAGGTTTTTTTAGTGTGTGCAAAAATGATGCACCATTGTCGAATAGAGCAGCGTTACCGGTAAGTGTAAGAGACAGTGACTGAGGGCAGGGACTCAATCTTGGTGCACATTCCTGAGATGCTAAGCTATTGTAGTTTATATTGGAGCAAGCCAGTTGTAATCAAAACTAACTACAGTCGAACCTCCAAGTGCGACCACCTCTCGTAAGCGACCACCTCCGTAAGCGACCACCAATCCAAAACACCAGCACCAGCTACTAAGAATGTACGAAGAACTTTAGTGACACATGGCGTAATTTAGACATTGCATGCAATAAATATCTTCCATAAAGTAGATGTGTCTGGACCTCTTCTCGGAAGAGACCCCCTGTGGTTCGATTCTTGTAAGCGACCACCTCCCGTAAGCGACCACTCAGTCCTTGCATTTTGCGTGGTCGCTAACGGGAGGTTCGACTGTACTTTTAAGTAGTTAAAAATTCTTTTCTTAGATCCTGCCTTCAAATTAATGTTCCTTGCTTCAGCACAATATAAGACCCTCCTCCCCCGGCCCACAACATAGCCCGTCCAAACGGCTTAAGCCCAGGCACCAGCAAAAAGTAATTTCTAAGATCATTTTAAACATCAATCTCGTCTGCAGCTGTACGAAAGGTTTTTAAACTTTACAGATTGCAACAAGGTTCATATTAAGACGCAAAGGCTTTGACCGCAAACCTTTTTGCCTCTGTGAAGATTTCTTCAGTATCAAGAGTGAGCATATTGAAGTGTTTGATAACTTAAATGAGCCAGCTTACATTATTTTGGAATAAATGTATAGTTCCTCATTTTTTTTCTGGAGATCTATTGCTGCCCCAGCTCAATTCTTCTATAAGCTCTTTGGAATGAAGGTCAGTAAAAGAAAGGATAACAAGACCCAGTGTTGTGAATAAGGAAAAGGTAAGCTAATTGAAGCGTAATTCCTGATGTTACTAACATTCGACAAAGAGGTATCTTTTGTTTGATATGTATATTTGTTTATTTTTATTTTTTTCAATTCTCTACAGACACTTTTTACATTGAGCAAATACCCGCCACAACCAAATCGAGGAGAAGTGATGGTCGAGGAATTTTTCAAGTTCTAATCACTAAATTCACTAGTTACTCGTTCACCCCTTTCGTGTTTTCTGGTCCCTTTATTCAGTAACAAAGATTCCAAAATCAAACGCCGCTAATTAAAATATTGGATTCACTTTACTTGTATCTAACGGAGGAGTACGGTGGCTGCGATGAAATATGCACAATAATTTTAAATGACAAACTTCTCATATAATTTTCCCGCCAACACTGCTAACGAACCAACAATAAGGATTTTGTTCGTTTACTGATGGTTAAGGTTTCTATCTCGGTTTAGTGAGTTACTTTACTGAATATTTTAGTCAGTTAGTTTAGGCACCCAACACATAATGACTGTTGAACCATAGCCTGCACCGGTTAATCAAAGACATACCTTTTCTTTGGGCTGCTCAACCGTGCTTTCCCAATTCAATTATGTCATGAGTAGACAACCTGTACCACTTGTCTTGCATAATTAACAACAGGCTTTTTCGGTCGCGAAAAATGGATTCCATCTGAAAAAGGGAAAAAAGCAGAAAAATTGCAGAAAGAGTTCCGAAATGTGAATGGTAAGTGATCTTATACTTTCTCCTCTAGTGCGTTTACACACGAGGATCTATCCAATTCATCGTTATACGTGAATTGTGGTCTCAATTGGAAGGTGAAATATATGTATCGACAAGTATTTGTTTAAAAAGGCAGAGAAAAGATACGAAGTTATAAGATTATTTATAGTGAAGGTTGTCTGCACTTAGGCAAGAGCTTTCAAAGCCCTAAGAGGTCATTTGCTTTAATTTGATGAAATAATCTTAACGAGAAAAGTATAAAGTGATCTTCAAAATTCTACTTAGGTATTGCAGCAATTCATGTTTTTTACAGGCAATAAATATGTCAGTATTGCAATTATAACTTGCACAATTCTTGTAATTTGAAAAGAATCAAAAAGGAAAGGAAAGCTGATCGCGAAACTATTTAAATTTATTGTTTCTAGCGTAGTCTACTCAAACCAGGCGGCCCACATTTAGTCAGTACAGGAAGATGTAAAATGGATGTCTTTATTCAAAACTAAGTGCCATATGGATAAGTGAAATTTGTTATAAAGACAATACCACTAAATCAAGCATCTGTTATAGTAACAAACCTGATCGCCGTGCCAAAGGACTAGCACTGTAAATATATATTTGCTGCTATATGATTGGTACATAATTTTTATGGTGGCAGCAAACTGCATCGGTATCAATGAACTTTGCCTATAAAAAGCAAAACTGTAGCTCTTGACTAAAAAACATAGCTTAAGAATTGAATTTTCTTTGGCCCTGTCAAGCCTCATGGGACACAGAAGGTGAGCAATTGTAACGCGCGCAGGATGTGACTTAAAAAGCGGAGTGATTTTTTATTTTTAATGCGAAAAGCATTTCACACACTATCGTTGGACAGTTTATTGCTTTCTAATGATGTTTTATCAAACAGAAACAAGAAAAAATACTCAAATTATTCGGTTGCACTTCCTGCGCGATGTTTCAGTTTGGCGTATCGGATAAGTGCATTGAATTGCTGGAATCTGCTTGCTTAGATTAGCTAAGTGTTAAAGTGGCTGTGCGGCGCTTAAAAGGAGCACACTTACAAAAACTTTTTCAAAGTTAGTTATTATAGACGCTTCGTAAGCGCACGATGAATTGTTTCATTGTTAATGCTTTTCTTAAACTTAGGAAATACAGCCACGCTTTCAGTGGCGCGAACCTTTAAAAGGCTTCAGAAATGTTCAAGCTACCGCCGTTGCAGACTACATTATTATTGCTGCTCTTCTTGACAGAAGGTAAGTTGAAACATAAAAATATAAATATTCCTTACTTTCTCTGACAATAAAGAAAAAGCATAACAGACAGGAAGGAAAGCTCAATGCCGTTACAAATGTCACCCTAGGTTCCTCTGGAAAGAAACCAAAACGGGCGAATGGCACAAGAATAGGTATCCATCCCGAAGAAAAAACAGTTCGTTCTGCCCTTATTGGAATAAAACCAGAAGAGGTTCTACTGAGCAGGAACACAGGTTAGTGCAAATTAAATATAAAATGGCCCTGATTCAGTCTTTTTCGTGCGATGGTTCATATCGCAGTACGATGGCCATTTTTGAACATATCTTGAAACTTATGTATCCACATAAAGCTGTGCACGAAATTACACTTCAAAAGGAAGACAATGATCCTGCAACTGCATCTCACGTTTTGGACGGCAAATAATTCGCCAAGAATTCTTGTCGCATTTAACACTCGATGAAACATTTTAAACCATGCTGGGTTGGTTTGACCATTCCGTCCAACATCGTCAAACATCATTCAACTCAATTGTGGACACAACAATGAATGAAATGCTGGTACCATGCGAGTGAATTGATTATTTCATTTACCTTAATCACCTTTTAGAAGAAAGCAGTTCAAGAAAAAGTGAAGTAAATCTGCTAGATCAACTACCAGCCTTTGAAGGTAAAAACAAAATCGAAATGTATCAATCTCCAAAGCCCTTCGCCCCATCTGAGGGAATCCGGGAAATTTTTGCTTGTGGAATCCGTAACCCACAAAATGTTTATTATGGAATCTGGGAATAAACCCCAAGGAATGCGGAATCTCACTAAAGATTGGAATCCAAAATCCACGTTCCACCGACAAAGAATCCGGAATCCAGTCCCTGGAATCCGGAATCCACGGTGTGGAATCCAGAATCTAAAACTGTGTTGGATTTCCTTATATGGGGCGAAAAACTGTTACCAAAGAGACTAGTCAATATTTACAACTTAGACTACGAGTAGTCCCCCATTTTTCCTAAGGGATAGTAGAGCGAGCGAAAAGCGAGCGCGCGTGAAAATCACCCCAGGCGAGAACAGGCGAGAACTACTCGTCGGGAACTACTCGTAGTCTATTTGCAACTAATCTATCGAATCAATTGTCTGGTGTAAACCTTTGAAATGAAGGTGTCTTGCAACACTTTAGTTTAGCGTCAGTATATTGACAAAGAAAAAACCAGCGAGGCCACACGAACATCTCCTGCCTTTTATTCCCACAACGCGCGACAAACTAGTCTTCATTTCAAAGATTGTTTTTAACAAGCGTCCCGTTTTGCTTTGATTTGGAAGTGTTTTTAATACAAATAAAGTGCGACAAGGTAAAGAATCCCAATGGGCAGGAAGTAGGCCAGTAAGGTGTTTACAAGTGTGGTGGTGGAAGAGTCCAGCACTCTCACCTTCAGCTTCTTTACTCCTAACTTGATAGAGGTATATCGTTTTCACCACTTATCATTTGTTTAACTTCGATCTAATGTCTTTTTCATTTGGCAGATGAACAACGTTTGACAAACAGCGCTCTGGATTATTCTAGCCACTTGTCGCCGCTTGATCAGCGTTTGGTGAATCAATTTGATAGAGGTGTTTTCTTCTTTTCAAATGGTCGCATTTAACTTTACGTTCGTCAACTATGCACACCCTCGGAATCGTAAGAACTCTTCTTTAGAAGAACAAGCTGAAACAAACGTTTGATTAAATTTTAAGTACACGAACTGTTCACATGGCAAAAGATTCATACAGCACTTCGGGTGGAGAGAAGCGACGACCGGAAATATGTCTGTGTTCGCAGGCTAAGAACTCCGTGAAAGAAATAAAGACGTTTTCAAACGGCCGAAAGAAAGCTTGAATTTCGTGTCACGCCCTTTCAAATGTCGAAATTAGTTAACATTATTTGTTTGTTTGCTTGTTGTTTTCAATTTTTGCAGAAACTGGGGGGAATCATGAGGATCCAACGACTGGAATAGCGTCAAAACTACAAGGAGAAGGAGACGGAAAGAAGAGTAAGTGACATATCAAA